AGAAGAAGATCTAGTCTAATTCAACTGGCTGAATTGCATTTCTCAAATAACCCTTTTCTTGGCCAAAGGTAAAAAACGATCTTCTTACTCTGCTCTGCTGTACCCTTCATTGGGAACTATTACATCATCATCATCTCATCATTATCATTATTATTTACGCCTCTTGATTATTTCCTGAACAGGTAAATAAAGCTGGCTGAACCATAAATGACTCGTCTTTACGCCTACTATCAATACACTCATCTCCCCTTCTTGAAACCTTTTTACAATTCTTTCCTGAAATCTTGGCCGTAAAAACCTTGTATGGGTTCAAACTTTCTTGGACGGTTGGATCCACACGGCCTACTTCGGGCCCGATCTCAATCACCATGTAATCTTCTTCACGGCCCAAAAACTCAACAGCCCGATCCAAGGAGAAATGCACATTTGATGAAACACTCGTTCTACAAAGCGGACAGTTTGCATTGTTCTGAAGCCAAACGTCAATACAGTCTATGTGGAAAAAATGCGCACAGTTTGGAATGACTCTCAGCTTTTCTTCTTCTCGGAATTCGCTCAAACACACCGCACATTCACACGACTGCTTTTTTAAAAAAGACTCTTCCTTTTGCCGATTTTTGAACTCAAAGATTGGGATTGAGCGGATTGTGGCCTCGTCCAGCCCTCGGCCCTCGACAGCTGATGGAGAACTTAAAATGCGTAAATGGTGCCAGCTCAGACAGGACTTGATCACGAATATGTAGTAGCTGATTAGCAAAAATGTCGTTGCAAGAATGCCGATGATGGCCAGGGCTATAATGGGGAAAGAAAAGGTTTGCGGGCTTTTGATAGGGGATTGGGCATTGCTCGCGGGATCCATTGGGGAATTAACGCAAACACTTGGTGTGCCAGTTTATTATGCTGGCATTTATTTTGTTTTTGGTCAGTATAAGAGAACGTGTGCCTCGTGAAAGCATCAATGACGGAAAACGGGTTGGCCCCTTTTAGGTTTCGCGAAATTAAGGCAGCCCGTATTGGATTTAAGATGACTTGTAAAGAATATATAANATGGAAGCTTGAAGAAGAGGGACCAAAGAGAGAAATTATAGGTTTGGAATTAAATGCTTGTGCTGCTGGAGAAGGTTTGGAGGAAATTTGGGGAGTGAATGCAATAGTTTTAATTTTTGGTGGACCTTTTTTAAGGTGAGAAAACAGAGGAAAACATAAAATAAAAGATGTTATTGTGTAGTTGGTGAAAATTGCAGCGCCCATCAAGGAAGATTTGTTTTGGTTGGCAGGAAATAATTACTACAATTTCTCTCAACTCCTGTCGATAGTTATTATATTATTGTGGTATCAAATGATATAGCATATAATCAAGTTTACATAATTCTTATCAGGCCAACAAAATTTTAGAATTGGATACTGCATTTGTTAGCATATTAAGCTAGCTTGAATGAAAGTCATGCCAGTTCTTTCAGTTTTGACAAGCACCCGTGGTCAGTTTCTCGAGAGTAGAAAAAAATTCTCTAGAGTCCTTAGTTCCCGATTTGAAATTTTAAGATTACTTTTCTCATCCATTTCTTTTTTTCTTCCGTGCTTTATTCTCTTCGCTTCTTTGTTCTGTTGCTTGGTCAGTGTTGTGTGCCCGACTCATGGGGGAGCCTTAGCCTATTTAATTGGGGGTAGTGTGGTCTTTGTTGGGCATTATTTTGTTGCTTACTCTGTTTTCTCTTTGTTTCTTAGGTGTTATTTTGTTTGTTTTGCCTTTTTAGCACTCGGTAAGGGTTTGTTTCTTCCCGCGGAGGCCCATTGAGGAAGTTGGAGAAAAAATTGGTGAAAAGATTGAAAGGTTTTAAGCTGTCGTAAAGAGAGGAAGAGGGGATGACAATAACTGAAGATGACATCAGCTCGGACATCCAAGAATGTTCACTTAATTTTATTGACTAGGTGCATGGAGAGAAAATGGTAAATCCAGTGAGCACAAAGGTGTTGGGATCAACAAATTCCAATTCATATTTCAATTGGAGGAAGATAAGAAGAAGATGCTAGTAGGGAAGGACTGGTCATTTGATGGCCAACATCTGATTCTTAAAGAATGGAATTCAGAGAATGAGGGACACAAAGAAGAGGATGATGTAATTCAAATATGTGTCCAAATATGGGATTTGCCTCTTCACTGGGTTGTTGCCAATACTGGTTTAAAGTGGGAAGGCCTTCCAACAAAGTGGTGGATGTAGTAGTACCTGACATGGGGGAACAAGGTGGAAGGATGGTAAAAATCCTAGTGGAAATGAACATGAAGGACCCTATCATTCGAGGAACTCATATAAGACTAGGAGAAGAAGTGAAATGAGTTAATATCAGGTATGAAAACCTTCTCAACTCTTGTTATTATTGTGGAAAGGTGGGACATGCCGATAGAAACTGTGATTTGAAGAAGGAATATATTAATTTGAATAAGCTAAACATTGGTCAGCCAACCAATCAAGGCTCTGAAAGAGATAGAAGCGCCATACGAGTAAATCCTTCTTGTTTGATGTGGCTGAAGTCGACAATGTGGTTTTGAGAGTAACTGTTAGAAAAGAGTTAAAGTTTAACGTTGTCTTGCATGTCCTAAACATCCGTAACAATTTGATTTCCAAATCACTTCTTATTGAGCGTGAATTCAAGTTAGTGTTTGATGATAAAAAAAAATTGTTATTAATAAGTCTGGAATATTCAAGTTAGTTCATATATAACTAGTTCTGGAATATATGCTAATAATTCATACTAGTTAGCGAGTATATCAAAGACAAAACAAAGTAGAAAAACAATTCAATTCCTGATCATGTCACACCTGAGGTCAGCAACATATGACTTCTACACCAATTTAGACCTTTTCTCAATTCCTAGGAATCTAATTCCTCACGTGCGCATCTAATAATTCTTAAAACCACCATCTTTTAACTCCTTTTCATCATATAGCCTTTCATTATGTTTCAGTCAAATAAAAATAACAAAAAAGGTATTACATGGAACTAAATCCCACAAAGCCCACAAAAAGCCATGTAAAAACAGTCTTTCAAAGTCCAAAGCCACCTCTTTGACTAGTCCAAATACGCCGCATATGCTAATAAATTTCTGGTCAAAATTGAAGCTTCTTCCACGTGGGACGTTCTCTCCACCACACGCTCGTCCACATCGACAACAAAGGCCCCTTCCCGTCAAACCCTCCATATACCTTTTTGACTCATCAAACAAAAATATAAATTGCCACCTCACACGACACATAATAACTCCCACCAAAACAAAAACCCAAAAATTAAAAAGAAATAAAAAATTCAAACACATGGATGGCAGAGGAAATAACGGGCAAGAAAACAATAATAATGCAGGAGAAGTAAAGTACCGAGGTGTCCGAAAGCGGCCATGGGGAAAATATGCAGCCGAGATTCGTGATTCGGCCCGCCAGGGGGCCCGCGTGTGGCTGGGCACGTTTGGCACAGCCCAAGAGGCCGCACGGGCCTATGATCGGGCCGCTTACACAATGAGGGGGCATTTGGCCATCCTCAACTTTCCGGAAGAGTACAACATGCCGAGCAGCTCGTCCCATTTCGCGAGGCCCTCGAGCTCCATGCAGAGTAGGGAGGAAGTGATCGAGTTCGAGTATTACGACAATAAGTTGCTGGAGGACCTTCTTGATTACGATAATTACACGTCTAAGAAGTAGATTTAGTACTTGTTTGGGAGCACTTCTGAAAAAGTCCATTTAAGATATGGACTTATCTAAAATGCACTTCTCCAAAAGTCTCTATCATTTACTTTTACAGAATGGACTTTTTGGAGAAACAACTTATTCATAAGTCCATTCTTAATTTAGCACCAAACATAAATATTTATTCAAATGGACTTTTGCATCCAAAAGTCCATTTGAAAAGTGTTTCCAAACAAGCTCTTAGTTATGTAATTAGGAAATGACAGATTGCACGTGCGGTGGGAAAGATAATGAGCTCTAATTGCACGTGCAAACACGGGTGATCGTAATATTTATTTATGTATAAGATTAAGTTTGTATCTTACGTGTATTTTTGCTTTTT